GTTTTATTTTTTCAAGCAAAATTGTAATGTTATACAAACATTAATTTTTTGAACAGAATGAAGTTGCTTCAATAACGAATGACCAATTATCTAATGCTCCGTCTGATAGAAATGATAAAAAATTTGAGGGATATACTTTCTATCCTACAAGAAAGAAAAATATAAATAATACATTTTATTTCTTTTGTATTTGGTTGGGTGGAAAAAATATATATTTTTTATTTTTAAAAAATTTTATTTTAAATTTTTTTTTAAAAAAGTATAAATACATATTTTATCATTATATTTATATATGAAATTAATATATACATAATATATGTATATATCGAATGATATATAGACAAATAAAATATATTTCAACACAAATAATTAACTTTTATTCAATTTTTCTTATAATTTTGAAGGAATTGATTTTTGTGAATTGGAAGGAAAGCTCTTAGCAAAGAATAATCTCTAAATCTTAATAGAGTGTGGTTCCAGTGTGTCAAATTTCTAGTTTTAACGCTCATGGTGATTGTTTTTAGATTTAATTTCATGACTCTGCGATTGCTAATATGGATATTTTATAAAAATTTCATAGAGTGTAACTTGATATTTAAATCTGCATATGAATTTTGAGTCGGATTGGACTTTAGCATGCAAGAATTTACAAAAAAGAAAAGCAGAAAAAATACTTCAAAACGATGAGTTAGTTGCATCTTACGACCATGTCAAGAACTGGAACCAATCATGTTGTCGAGATGATTTTCCCAGCATCATCCACAATAGAATTAAAATATAAACATGTTTGTAGGTCTTTTTTCCTTCCCCTGGTTTTCTTTTAATTAAGAAACAGAGGACATGGGTATTTTGGCTGAATGAAGAAGACAGATGTAAAGACATTAAGATGTGAGATGCTGGAGGGTGAGGATTAATCGAAGACCAGTTGGACCATAATGCATGCTGTATTTAGTATCATGTCAGATCACACTTAAACAACTTGTATGGTTGGTGACTGTGTGGTTTGCTTGCTTGTCAGGCTTAATACATAGGATGGTCAGACTCAACTTCCCTTTCTGGTGTTGATCCCTTAGTCACATCATTCAACTAAACTTTTAATGTTATCATGCTCCGCGAGCAAATTCGTATTTTGGGAGCCACGATCAATTTACGAATTTGACTAATTTGTGATTTACTTAGTTTTATACTTACTTATTTACTTAAATTTTTTTTTGGAAAGTATTGATCCAAACCTAAAGAGATATATCAAGCTAAAATAATATTTGTAAATTATAATTACTATTTTAGGACTTTATAATCAACATATTTAAAAATTAATAAATTTTATCATATTTGTTCATGAAAATTTTAAAGTTTTTATATTACATTTTTATGGGTAAATATGTGTCTATGTGCATATAATTTGATGTTCTTGCTCTCAAATTTTTTTTGAATGTTGACATATTTACATTCGCACTCTGTTTCCGCTCTCACTCTATGTGATTTAGAGTGATCCTTCTAGACACCTATGATATGTTTGGTAGAGCGGATGAAAAAAATAAAAAAAAGGAAAAGTAAAAATAATATAATTTCTATTTGTCAAGGGAGTAATCTTTACTTCTCTTCTTTGTGTTTTGGTAGGAGCGATGAAAATTAGAAATGATTGATTTTTTGTATGTTTGGTAGTTTGAAAAAAGTATAGATGTTTATTTTACTATTATATCTATATATCAAATTAATGTATATATAATATATGTAATAGATAAATAAAATATATTTATATATTAAATGATGCATAGGTAAATATCATACATTTTAATAAAAATAATTAACTTTTCCTTAACTTTTTCTCTCAATTTTAAAGGGATTAATTTTAGTGAGTTAGAAGGAAAAACAATTCCCACTTTTCTATCATTCTTTATCAAATATGATATTTTATCTACCCTCCAATTTTTCATCATTCTAACTTTTTATCCTTTATTTTTCCATTGTACCAAATAAAGCATACGATTGACATTGAATCTTGTTTTATCGGGTTATGTAATGTCTACGTTATGTAAAGTAAAAAAATTTACTTTACTTTGTTCGTGATTAAATCAGAGTAAAGTTATTTTGACCAAATTTAAGGATGTCATTCATCATAAGCCCACTGTTAAATGAGATTTACTTTTCATTCAACTCATATAATAGAATAAGTACTCAAATTAGGTTTATTTTGAATTAATTTATAATTTTGGAAAATTAAATTAATGTGATGTAATAATATTAATGTCTTATCGTGTCGTATCGTATTTATCGTGTTTATCTGTATTCGTGATGTTGTGTTGTATGTAAATCTTGCTTACTTGTAGTTGTGATGTTTTTAACTGGGTTTGTGTTGAGGTAAACAAGATTTATGTTCATCTATTAATTAGATAGGTGAGATGGATCCACCAGTTGAACATACGAACCCTCTAAAAATACAAATTTTTGGTTACTGATAAACTCTCCGACCACCGAACAAAGCCCACATGCACTTCCCTGCTATCCCAACAACCTAAGCTTCCACTTGCTTGTAGAGATTTGTCTGCCACCACCACCACAACATCCCACTTTCCAAACCCAGCATAAAATAAAAGCTTTACAATATAAGGACCAAAACGCCAAGTTGCCTTAGTGTTATGTTCTCCATGCCGCATTCACTGATTATTTATTTTTCTTCTTTTTTTTGTTGTTGGGGGGGGGGGGGGGGGGTTAATAGAACAACTATGAAATAATGAACACACTATAACCACAAATAAAAAATAGAAAAACCTTTTTTGTTCTCAAACTGTACAAACCCAGTATTCATTTCTTCTTCAAAAGCATTACCAAATTGGGACCTTTCCTTCTAAATAGGACCTGAGAGGGTATGTGGAGAACCATCACTCCCTTCTCCCTTTCTGGTACTGAAAGGCATTGTTCCTACTTATCCATTCTGAACCCCTTATTTGGTTTTCACTATCATGGACCAGCAACATTGCATCATTTACACATGTAAACCTTGTACAAATTGCTCACAGGTTGACAAATGGCACATCCTCATGGTTAGTGGACACATATATATTAAAAAAAACGAAACTCAAATCATTAAATTTCCCATTAAATTGCTACTTGTCACCACAGCCACAAGCCTTATCCTAACTTCTACCTAAATAATGGCCCTCCGTGGTAGCTCAATGAATTGGGAGAGTGTTCAAAATGTGACTTATGTTCTAATTCGTATGATGAAAAAAATAAAAGAATAAAAAATTAGAAAGATAAAAGTTAAAGAAATAGATAAAATATTATATTTGGTAAGGAAGAAAAATAAGAATAATGAAAAAGTAGATTAATAAGTTTTTCTTCCAATTTATCAATATCAATTTCTCTAAAATTTGCAAGAAAATGGATGAAAAATTATTTATTTCTATTGAAATGTATTTTGTTTGTCTATATATCCTTTAATATATACATATATTATGTATACATTAATTTCATAAGAAAATACAATAATAAAATATGTATTTATAATTTTTTTTTAAAATTAAAATAAAAAATTAAAAGTAAAAAAAAATATTATTTCCATCTTACCAAGTATAAAAAAAAATTAATCATTTTTATTTTGCATCCATCCTACTAAATATGATAGTAAATTTTATTCCAAAACATAATCATAATTTTTTCCTAATAAGTGATAAAACACTTTGAAAACATAGTAAGTAGTATGGTACGAATTTTTTGCCCCCAACACTCAAATAAGAATGAGTACTAGGTCCTTGAGGAAGATTACGATTAAATTACTGTTTTTTGAGATCAAGTTATAATCTTCAAAGGTGAAATTACAAGTGTTTAGAGGGTATTTATGATCCTTCATGAATTATATAACTTTATTTTTAATAACTTTATTACAAGTAACTGAAATAATTATAATTTAATTTTTAAAAAATATAATTTAACTTCAAAAAATAATAAAATTTTCGTACTGATTTCATAAAATTACCCTGTCTTTGGTTTGACCGGGAACCAATTTTCATTATCTTCAATATTAAAATATGGCTTCTTTCAAAAAAAAAAAAATTTAAAATATGGCGTGGAGGGTGGAGGTGCACGTCAACGTACAGAGTTGAACAACTTCATAGAGCCAGATACTGGCATATGTGCGAACAAAGCGACACTCATCTGGCATCTCCCTTCACCAGCCTCTCATTATCTGTTGCCGCAACGTGGACCTACCCATATCTGCCACGTCATCAAACACAGGTCCCTTGCATTTTTGTTCATACCTAATTACCCAAACCTCAGCACATCACTGTTTCCCTCCTCCATGGACTCATGTTTTGAGTTTTATTGATGAGCTATATTGAATCCCCAAAATGTTACTTAAATAATCGACTATAAAACGAATTCTATCAACCACATTTATGAGTCAAAGCCACGAATAAACCAAGTTCTTCTCAGTTCCGATTGAAACTTTCCATTCACAGAACAAATCAAGTTCAATTAATTTTTTTGGATGCTTAATTATCTCAAAATGATGAGAATTTGATCAAAATGAATTTGAGTTTAAACTTGAACACAGTTCCTTTGATGGACCCTGAATTTTCTTTACAAGTTAAGGAATTGATTTTAAGAACTTAACTCAATTTATTCTTTTCAAATAATTTAAGTATTATTATACAGTTTGTGTAACATTCCTCTTTTTAACACTTAATGGCTCCTTATATGATGCATACCGATACAATCATTAGCGTTAGCCCAATAACATTTTTTGGAGACTAGTATAAATTTCCAGCTCAAAATTAACCTTCCACGAGCCGTTACAGTTACTACCTTTTGCGACGGCATGCTCAAATTCCAAAAGTATAAACCCCCGATCAAAACAAAGAACAAACGGTACAGATCAACCCATCGTCAATGGATAAGGCCCTTTTACATCAACTAGCGCATCTCTTATGGCGTCAGCAAACACTTTTTACGGATAATTCCCACTTTCACACCTATAAATACCCACCCATTGCGTCCCGATTCCAACAAGAATAACCCAAACACAGTCTCTTCCAAATTCCAATTCAATTCTTGAGTTTCTGAGATCAATGGATAAAGTGAACTTGAATTCGAACTGGGTCAGAGGGAGTTGTATAGGCAGAGGCTCGTTCGGAACTGTGAATCTCGCCGTCAAGAACTCGAACGGTGCTGGTGAGGTTTTCGCCGTCAAGTCCGTTAATCAGAGCTCGTGTTTGTCTTCTCAGCTTGAGGCTCTGGATAACGAAATTCGAATTCTCCAATCACTTTCCTCACCTTACGTGGTGAAGTATCTCGGCGACGACGTCACATGTGAGTCCCCCACGACGTCGTATCGAAACTTACATATAGAGTACTTGCCAGGTGGCACCCTCGCCGACATCGCGAAACGTTCCGGTGCTGACGTGGACGAAAGAATTGCTGCGAGCTACACCTGGTGCATCGTGTCGGCGCTGGGGTACGTTCACTCCAAGGGCATCGTGCATTGCGACGTCAAAGGCAAGAATGTATTAGTGGGACCCACACACAGCACCGCCAAGCTCGCCGATTTCGGGTCGGCGACGGAATCGACGGATGTGATTTCACCACGTGGGAGTCCTCTGTGGATGGCGCCGGAGGTGATTCGACGGGAGTACCAGGGGACAGAGTCCGACGTGTGGTCGTTGGGGTGCACGGTGATCGAGATGATCACCGGCCGGCCGGCTTGGGAGGACTGGGGAGCGGACACGCTGTGCAGAATTGGATATTCCGACGAGTTGCCGGAGTTTCCAACTCAGCTCTCAGAGCAGGGACGAGACTTTCTTGAGAAGTGTTTGAGAAGAGACCCAAGTGAAAGGTGGAGCTGCGATCAGCTGCTAGAGCATCCATTTATATCAATATCTTACCCACCCGCCATGATCACTGATTCTTCTCCTCGTTGCGTGCTAGATTGGTTCAGTTCAGAGCTGTCGCACGAAGACGATGAGGAAATTTGTTATAGTTTTGACAATTTAGATGGTAAAGCGAGAAAGAGAATTGGGGAATTGGCGTCGAAGACAGGGGCAAATTGGGAATCAGATGGATGGACGGCGGTGAGGGGTTTGACCAGTGCGACAGAGGAAGTTTCAGATGCGTGTTGTTGCGAAGAAGAAGGAGAGGGGACAAGTTCGACATATTTGGATTCGATTAGAACGGAGGAGGAAATTTTTGGGGCCAGTTTGGAATATTTGAATTCTACTGGGGTTGTTGAAGTAAATTTAAATGGAAGGACAAATATGGAACATTCTGATTCTGATAGCAGTCTTTTAATGGAGACACTAGAGTATTACTACTACGACGTCGTTTCAAAGTGGAATGGGCGTCGGTTCGGCGGGGTTGAAGCTGGTTCAAGCTGTCAGTATGGTTCTATAGATTGGGATTGGGTAGTGGAGAGCAGAGGAGTGGGCTCTTACAGCTATAGTAGATTATTATTAATGCATTTTTTCTTGAATAATTACGATTGTACCATTTTTTTGGGCATAGATCTAATGTTGTACCTGTTATGTTGGACATCCACTTGTGCCTTTGACCTATATTTATTTTATTACTTTACTATTTATTGTTTGTATCTAAAGCGTAAAGACACGGGGTAATAAATAAATTATCAATCACAAATATATTTGTATTTATATTCAAAATCAAATCACAAATAAAAAAATAATAATAATAATAATTTAAGCACCAGTTATATTAGGGATGAGCGATAAAAGGCGTGGTGAGTAACATTGGAGATGGAGGGAGACGGTGATGATGGTTGACAATGGTCGTGCTAGGCGACGATGGGTGTTTGTGTGCGACGGTGGTTGTGACAGATGTAGTGGAGATAGGTGACAGTGGGTGACAATAATGGTGGACAATGATGGGATGATGGTAATAAGTGTGATGGAGGTGGGTGACAATAGGTGTCTGCGATGGTGGGTGACGGTGATGATGGTGTGTGGTAGTGGTTGGTGGCGATGGACAACGGTGGTGGTTGGATGATGATGGTAGTGATAATAAATATAAAAATTAAATGATGATGGTGATGAGTAGTAATAATAAGCAACGGTGATACCAATCGGTGGTGGGTGACGATGATGGTGGTAGTGATGATAGTGGTGGTGAAGTGTGTTTGTCGAAAAATGATTTTAAAAAAGTAGAAGTTATTTATTTTTTTTAATTTTACTTACTTATTTGAGTAAGTAATAAAAATACTTTTGACTTATTTGGAAGTAATTAAAATAAATTGTTCCAAAACTATTTATTTATTTTTTTAAAAAAAAGTGTTTATGAGAAGTTATAAGTACTAGAAACCCTTTTGAAAAGTTACCTCAAACACACTTTTGGAATGCTTTTTTTTTTTATTAAATTTGTAGAGTTAATATTATCCGTCGGATTAACTTTAATGTAAAATTTAAAATAATTTCAACCGCAAAAAATAAAAATTATTTTTTATGTTGTACTTTATTTTATAGATTTTAGATCGCAGTTTGTGCATTTGATGAGTTTTTTTATTTTTTATTTTTTGGTTCAACAGTCAGAAGTGTTTGAGTCACCTTACGCGCAGCTCTACTAATTCCTTCTTTAGTTCGGTGAAAGACAGATCATCTACGTCAGGACTAGGATAATTTATGTATTTTTTATGACATTTAAACAAGTCAAATCCCAAGAGTTTTGTTCAATTTTGACTCTTTTAATTAAGTTCTTACCATAAAAATAGCGAATATGATTACTTTTTACAATCCACTAAGCATTGAGAAATAAGTTTGTTAGTGGTGAAAATATTAGTGACGAAACTTATATCGTCACTAAAACCTAATGTTTAGTGGCGAAAATAAATGTTGGCCACTAACCCAAAATATTTAGTGGCAAGCTAAAAAAATTATTAATTATTTCATAAAATAGAGTGTTACTACTCACAACATTAACTTTGTCACTAATATTTATCACTAAATTTGAGGCCAGAGAAATTTGGTGCCAAAAAAAATGGAGGAAAATACTTTAGTGGCAATTAATTTAATGTCGTTACTAAATAATCAATCAAATGATAACTCTTTAGTCATGACTTGTCCACTAGTCACTATTTTTATGAACTAAGGTGGTATTAGTGAGAAAATTTAATTGTTGCTAACAATTTGATCACTAATTTGGGGGAGGGAATTTTTTGGCGCAAAAAATATGTTGGAGGGAAGAATTTAAGTGACAATTTGATGTAAATCGTAATAGCTTTGATACCAAATTGATGTAGATCGTAGTAAGGAAGAATTAGAAATGAGAATGGAAGAAGAAGGAGATGAGAAAATAAAAAGAAATGAATGAGAACAAAGAGAGAATTTGAGGAAGAAGGATTCAATATTAATAATCAATAATAATCAAAAGTATCCCATAACAAATATGTATCCCCTATATATATATAAGGAGTTTACAAATCCTATATATATAAGGAGTTTACAAATCCTATATATATAAGGAGATCACAAACCCTAAAATAAATAAATAATCAAAATGACAACTAAGTCCCTGAAAAATAAAATGACAAATAACTCTTAATCCTTACGTCTGCGCCTACTATAACGAAATATAATTCCTATGTCTACGCCTACTTTAGTGTCATTGAGTTTTTTGCTGAAGTAAGCAATAGGATGACCCTCTTGACTCAAAACTCCACCTATCCCTACACTAGATGTATCACAGACAACCTCAAACACCTTAGAAAAATTTAGGTGTCGAAGGACAGGTGCCTCTGTCATCTTGTTCTTAACTTCTTGAAAGGCTCTAGTTGCAACAAGTGTCCATTGAAATTGCCCTTTTTTTCATGCACCCTGTGATGGGAGCCATAATGGAAAAAATTCGTGCTATTTGAGATTGGCTAGTGCCAAAAACAAATCTAGGGAAAAGCACTTGAGTTTGCATAAAGGAGCACTTCTTAAGGTTCGCATAGAATTTTTTCACACGTAATGCTTGTAAAACCTATCGAAGATGATCAAAGTGCTCTGCTTTAGACTTACTATAGATCAAGATGTCATCAAAATAAACCACCACAAATTGTCCTATGAAAGGACGCAGCATCTGAATCATAACCCTCATAAATGTGCTAGGTGTATTAGACAATCCAAAATGCATGACCAATCACTCATAAAGTCTATCTTGGATTTTAAAGGCGATTTTTCATTCATCTCCTGGTCTAATTCGGATTTGATGATAACCACTGTGCAAATCAATTTTGGAGAACTAAAGTGCAATAGCCAAAAGGTCAGACATATCTTCAAGTCTTGGTATAGGAAATTGATACTTGATTGTAATTTTATTAATGACACGACTATCAATACACATTCTCCAAGAGCCATCTTTCTTAGGGGTCAACAAAGCAGGGACAACACATGGACTAAGACTATGAAGAACAGACCCGTTTTGTAAAAGTCCATCTACTTGCTTTTGGAGTTTAGCACGCTCAGTGGGGTTCATACAATAGTGGGGAAGGTTAGGTAACTGAGACCATGGAACTAAGTCAATAGCATGCTGAACATCTCTCATAAGGGGTAACTCATTAGGTAGTTTCTCGGGGATCACATCGTGGAACTCTCTCAATAGACTATCAACCTCAGACAAAAGATCATCCTCAGATTTCAAAGGACTCTAGAAAACTTCTTTGACATCTAGAGCTACCGCCGGATTCCCTATGGGTCAAGATGTGAATGTCTTTCTTGTGAATTATTTGGGAAGATGACCTATGCTTTGAATTATTACGTTATGAGGGTTTTGTAGGTTGTAACTTAATGGTTTTCCCCTTGTACTTAAAAACGTAGGTATTGTCCCTCCCATAGTTTGTCACATATGGATCAAAAAGCCACAAGTGACCTTACAAGACATGCACGACATCCATGGGTAAGACATCAAACCATATATGATCTAAATAGTCACCTATCTGAATAGGGACCAAACATCTCTGTGAGACTGGTAAGAAAATCTTATCAACCCATGCAATCTTGTAAGGTTGTGGGTATGTCTCTGGCTTAAGCTGTAACTGAGCTACAACCATCTTAGAGATGACATTCAATGAACTTCCCCCATCAATGATGACCTTGCAAACTTGACCCCCACATCGGACTAGAGTATGAAAAATTCAGGTGCGTTTCCATGATTTTGTGCTTGAAGGGGTGGATAAGATTCATTGCATCATATTGACACGGGTGTCATTGCTTTGCCATTCTTCCTCACCTTCATGTAGTAACTCTAGGGGCTCCTCATTTAAAGGATCAACTTCTTGGTCAACATCCTTTCCATCAAGTGAATTCCCTAACCCTTGGTCAATGGTCAAGGTACGTTGAGGGTACTGTGAAGCAATATGACTTTTGCTATGACAACAATGACACTCTATGGAAGAACTGTCTTAGCGAGAACCCGTGAGTGTAGAATCTCAACTCCTAAGGGTATTACCTTTCAAGTTGGGATAAGTGTTACCCTTGGATGTGACAGGCCTTGACTGGGTGATGCCTTGAGACTTATCAAATGAGACTTACCTTAATGGTTGAGATTCTTCAATTTGAGAAAGCATGCGACGCTGAAAGGGTGGCCTAAGGTATTGTTCAATCTCTAAGGCTTTATAATATGCTTCCTCAACCGTTTCAGGAGAGTGTAAGTTAATCTCTCTCTTAATCTCAGGTCTCAAGCCATTAATGAATTTTGAAACTATTACCCAAGACTCTTCTTTTATGTCACATCTCAGAAAAAACTTTTCAAATTGAGCTAGGTAATTAGTCACACGCAAGGTCAATTGACGCAAGTTCATCCACTTGTCCAAGAGTTGGCGGTTATAGTAACTAGGGAGATATTTCTCTCGCAATCTTTGTTTCATCTCAGCCCATAAAGTAATGGGTTGTCCCTCTGAGTGCTCTTAGTCTCGTTGGACTCCCTGCCAATATCTCTTAGCTGAATTAACAAGTTTCATTTGGCAAAATGAACCTGATGGTCGTCAGATATATCATACCAATCAAAATAGTCATTCATTTCATCCAACCAATCTAAGAAAACAACAGGATCTAATCTACCATCAAAACTAGGAGCATCCACTTTTACTCTTTGTGTGATATCCCTAGATTCTTCGTGGACATGCTTATGGTTTTGGACACGTGGTCGAAAGGGCTCACGATAACCCTCCATATCACCCTCTGTTAAATAATCAGACATGACTACCTTAGCGGGATCCTCCTAAAAATTCCTACGACCTACGTTTCGTCTAAAAACGGTATTATGAGGTGGCCTCATATCAAGACACTAAACTCGGCTACCCTGAGCTACTTGCGGAATTGGTGGGGCACCTTGATATGAGTCAGTAGGATCTATCAAGAGAAGCAGGTGCCTAACATTGTGTGCCTATTTGAACTTAGGTGAAACTGGTGACTTACTCTGGTCATATTCTATTGGTCGTTTTTCAATAAACTTAGTCAATTGAGCTAGTTGAGTAGTAACTTGAGAAAGTTATTGCCCCATTCTTTTAACTTCCTCATGTAACAAGTCGATTGACTATTTTGTATCGGTCATATCAATGGTGAGGGTCTCAAATTTTTGTTCTAGTGCAGTATGGGATTCTGAAAGCTCAGAAAGGGTCATAGTA